GGCAAGCATGGTACCACTGAGCTAAATCTCTGGCCCAATAATCTGAATTTCTTCATTACAGCAAAGCTCTAAAAGACTTCCTAATGTTTTTCAATCTTGTGGGTATAAAATGCTTTCTATTTATGGCAACTTTTATACCCTGATTACTAATGAACTGAGCATTTTTCATGTTTATGTATCATTCACATTTCTTCTATGAAATGATTATCCTTTGCCTATTTTTCCATTTTTTATAGATAGGAATTATTTGTCTATATTATACAAATGCTATATAAGCTTTATAGAGTTGCTGTTATTTTCTGCCAAATTGTAACTAGTATTTTCATAATTTTGATGAATAAAAATTGTTTTATTGATGTGGTTTGTTCCTTTGTAGTTTCCTATATGTAATTAGTTTTTCTAAAACCTATTTTACAGTTCCCAGGGGGCAAAATGTATCTTTTGAGAACTGTAACTTGAGAAAAACACACATACACACAACTAAATAAAGCAAAACAAAAAATAGTTTACCATAGCTGTTACAAAGTTAGTATAATTTTAAACAATAGTTTTAGCCAATTAAAACTAGATCTTTAGAAGTACTGCTGTACCCTATGTCTTTCTAAGCCATATACTTCAAGGGTTTTGTAAAAACTGGGAGGCCCAGGAGTTGACAGGAGGTCTGATGATCAGTTAAATGAACACAGCCTATGAGACATGACAGACATATGCAAATATTTTACAGGCTTATTATGAGGGGGGAGAAAAGTGAAAATAGCTAAAAGTGAAATGATAAAATTTCCAGGGAGGTTTTCAGCTCAGTATAAGACAATATTTGAAATAACCAACAATGGAAGAAAAAATCTCATGAAGTAGTGGCTCCTCATCACTGTATCATTCAAGCAAAGGTTGAATGTCCACCTAGGGTAATTTAGATATATTGGTTAGAAATTGAACTAGTTGACTTCTAATGTCTTTTCCAAAGCTATCATTCTGAATGTCTCCAGTGTTTTTCCTCATGTTTACAATTAATAATACTATATATTTAAAAATATATAATGTTTTAAGATTAGCAGCCTTATTTTGAGCTATCATATCCAGAATTTTCATATGAAGCTAGTCATTTGGTGAGAGATATTAGTAGAAGTTAATATTATCTTTGCAAAACTGCCAAGGTTCTTGGCCACTATAATACTTACTAGGTAGTACTGAAGTGCATATATGCACTCCTACATAGCCCTTAAAGTACATGCCTTAGAATGACATAGGGTACAGCAGTACTTCTAAATCTGGTTTTAATTGACTAAAATTATTGTTTAAAATTATACCAACTTTGTAACAGCTATGGTAAATTTTTTTGTTTTGCTTTATTTAGTTGTGTGTGTTTTTATCAAGTACATAAATAACTTCTAGCATATGCTATATCTGTTCCTGGGATTAATACTTTACAATCCACTAAATTTAACACCTACACAAAGAATAATAAACCACAAAGGTAAGTAATTTCATCAAGAAACTAAAAGTATTAGCTGAGCTTACCTCGAGAAGGTTGATGAGGAGGCTAAAGGGTGAGATTAAATCTTTACACAGCAGTTGTGCGGTTAAGGAAATTTTCATGTAAGGTATTTTTAATGCTCTTCAATAAAAGGAAAATAGGAACTGTACAAGATTTAAAGAGAATTCCAAGTATATACAACAGTTTAAAAATTATTGGTGCCCAGATGATCTCATTGGAAACTACTGCATAATAGTTAGTATATCTAGCATTTAGCATGTTTAGTAAATCTAGCATTCAGTATGGAAATAAACAATGCAGAAGGGTTTTTGGGGGTTGTTTTTTTTTTATGGTACTGGAAATTGAACCTAGGGCCTTTACAGTGAGCTACCTCTCCAGCCCATTTTTTATTTTGAGAACAAGGTCTTGGTAAGTTGCTATGTTGCCCAGGCTGGGCTCAAGCTTGAGATCCTCCTGCCTCCGCCTTCTAGCCACAGCTGGGATTAGAGAAGTGCACCACCGTGCCCAGCTCTGCTTTTTCAGTTGTAGGCCATCACTCATTAGTGTTGTGAAATCAACTTACTGACCAGTAAACAGTATTTTTTTAATTACAGTCAATATTAGAGTTAGAATGTTCTAGACTAGAAACTAAGTGGTGTCATATGTTGTAAGGGTAAATATATATAAAATTATGTATAATTTTATTAAATTATTATGCAAATACGTTTATTTTTGTGAGACACAGTAAAACCAGAATAAAAGTTATTAGCATAGTGGATAAGAACTAGAATCTTAGTTTTTTATTGGTTTTCGTTGTTTGAGACAGGGTCTCACTATGTAGTTCAGACTGGCCTTGAATTCACCTTATAGCCCAGGCTGCCCTCAAACTTTCAGCAATCCTCCTGCCTCAGCCTCCCTAGTGTGCCACCATGACCAGCTTAGAATCTTAGATTTTAGAGCCCACATGATTGGAACTGAATCTCAACTTTGCCCCTTACTATCTCTGTAACTTTAGGCAAGTTATTTATCCTCTCCTGTGCCTTAGTTTCATTATTTTAGAGATGAAAGAACAATGGTGATTGTTCTTGTAGAATACCTAGAAAATTATACGTGCTAATTAAATATTAGCTAGTATTATTTCTTACTCCTAAAGGTTGAATGTTCAGTTCCTAGAAAACCTTGTTTAAAACTGATAGCTCTTTTTGTAGCTTTTTTATACTATTGTTATATATCATATACACACGTGTGTACGCACACTAGATTATCAAGAAGATATAATATTCAGACCCATGTTCTCCAGTATATAATTTAATGTTAGGGCTCAAAGTGTTTCTTTTCTTCTCTCTGAACTCTTATTATAAATCACATGCACATACTCCCTGTACTTCTCAATATATTTATGTGCTTACACAAATACCTAATATTCTGTGCCTCAGACCAAGTGATTTTTCTATCCCTCGACCTTGAGAAACTTAACTATGCACTATCATAACTTGATGCCTTTGCACACAGTGTTTTTCTGGCTCAGACTACCTTTTTACTTAGGAACTTACTACTTCTTTCAGATCAAGCTCAGACAAATTTCTTGGTGAAATCTATCTTTCATTATTGTTTTTGTGGTACTGGTAATTGAACCCAAGGCCTTGTGCATGCTGCACATGTGAGCTACCATTGAGCTACATCTCCAGTCCTTTTTATTTCATTTTGAGACAGGGTCTCACCAAGTTGCCTAGGTTGGCCTTGAATTTGTGATCCTCCTGCCTCAGCCTCCTGGGTAAGTAGGACTACAGGCATGCACAATCACACCTAGCTCTTTCTTGATTCTTGCAGCCACTATAGTCTCTAAGCTTTCTCTTAATCCTGTGTAATATCTATATATATAATTTACACATTTTGCTATCATTTATTTAACTTTATATCCATTCTTCTAAACCAGTGGAGTCCAAAAATTTTCATTGTATCACTTTTGAAAAATGTGAGCATACATATACATGTGCACCATACACATAAATTACTATACTAATTTGTACAAGAAATTTTAAAGGATGACATAAAGATAAAGTAAAAGCTTGTAAAATAATTTTGAAATTTTATATTATAAATATTTAAAATAATACTTATAAAAAGAATTTCATGTATTAATATATAAAATACTTTTCTCAAATGTTAATAATGTTTTGAATGTTAGTTATAAAATGTCATCAGTTGTGAAAATTATATTCCATATATCACTTGCCAATACCTCATGGCAGAATATATATTTAAGGTAAGATCTGTTATTAGAGTTTGGGATAATTTTTAAATTTTTGACACTAACTTTGTTACATATACAGTTTTATCATCACTGTCATTATGTGGCAAGGCATGAGAAGAAATGTCAGTTCTAGCATTTTTCTCTTCACCTATTAGTATCATCTTTGATCTATGATATTTTAAGAATGTTTTTAATTAAAATCATACAAAAAACATTACAAAATATAATAAACAATCCATCTACCCACTACTCACCTTGAAACTGACATAAAATGAATGCCCTACAAAACTGTATTCAGCCATGTTTCCATTTTGTGAGGAATTCCTTAGTACAAGATATAAATAAATCCACCTACCTGAGTACACATAAATTTCAGTACATTGCAGAACACTAAAAAGCATAATGAAGCCAGGCATAGTATCATACAATTGCAATCTCAGCTATCCCTAGAATGAAACATGAGAATCTATCTCAAGTTTGAGGCCAAACTGGGTAACTTGGTGAGATCTGGTGTCCAAACAAAAATTTTTTTTTACTTTTTAAAGGGTTCTCTGGGCACAGTGACACATGCTTGTAATGCCAGCACTTGGGGGGCTGAGGCAGGAGAATCTCTAATTTGAGAGTAGGCTGAGCTACATAGTGAATTCAAGGCCAGCCTGAACTACATAACAAGACCCTATCTCCAAAACAAAAAGGCTGGTGATACACCCCTGTAGCAGAGCATTTGACTAGCATGCATGAGGCCCTGGATTCAATTCTCAGTTCCACAAAAGAAAGAAAGAAGAGACCACTAATGAATGATGATACCACTCCCAACCTCTTACATTTGGAACTGTCCTTCCTTCAAAATAACTGAATCAAATATATGCAATATACAAGAGTCGGCCTTGTAAACTATGTAACAAGAGTGTCACTGTCAAATATACATTATTACATCAGTAAAGTTTAATTTCTAATTTTTAGATAGTAAGTATAAATTAGAATTCTAATAGATTTCTTGCACACCAATGGCTTTTCTTACTTATCCTCCTGGTGTTCCAGGACCATGCCTTGGAGGTCAATCCTCTAAATCATAACCCATGCGGAAGCAGGAATTTTGTTGAATTCATCCTTGTAACTGCCATGCAATGTAAGAGGAACTCAATAAAAGTTTGTTGACCATATGAATGAGAGCTTTCTGTGATATTTAAAGGTAACTTGAAAGTTTTCAGTAAATATATGTTATCTACTCCACTTGCGTGATTTGTGACATTGTGCTGACATTTCTTTAAGATTCTACTGTTAGAAGAAAACTACTTATTGAAAATAAGCAGAGAAGTCTTTCAGACCAGAAAAGAAAAATCCCTGGATCTGTAGCACAGAAATACAGGGAGCAAATGAGTGTAAGTACAGTATTAGTAAAAATCTCTATTCAGTATTTAAAAATTGCTTGGAAAACAGTGTTCCTAAAAGTCTATACTCTTGATGTAAACTGTACCGTGGTATAAATATAGCCAGAGTCCCCTGTGATGCACTCTTGGAATCTCATGGTAGCAGTTTGTTCAACTATACTTATTTTCTGTATTCTAATTCATCTGTATGGTCAGTTACCAGGGAAACTTTTAAACCAGCTTTAAGAAATCACTATTATTATTGTTATCATTTATAACCAACTCTGGAAAAAATAAGATCCTTCACAAGAAAATTCAACAAAATTATTTAAATTACATAAGAGAAGGAAAAAGGGAGGGAACAAGGAAGGCAAGGAGGGTGAGGAAATGAAGGGAGGGAAGGGAGAAAACTAAAGCAATCGATACAGGAAGAAATTATGCTAAACTAATATAATTCTGTGTAATTGCATATCCTATTTGGACCCAAGCTTCCTGCAAGACTTGGTAAAATGAAAAATTTAAGAGTTTACATAGTTCTCAAGGAATATTGGCAATGATGTTTCTGATACAATATTTTCAAAGATATTGAGGTCTTTTTATAAGGGACCTTGAAATGTATACTGAATATGTCTTTAATAACAATTCAATAATAAATAAATACAGCTCTTAGAGACAGATCTTCAATAAACATCAAAAGCATAGTAACAATTTTTTATGAAGGAAATTCTGTGAATAATATGTAAATGTGATCTAAATTTGACATTTTCTAGTGGTCTGACTTTAAGAATTTACTTTAGCATGTCAAAAATACTAAACAATTAAGTAAATAACATTGTACTTGGAGTTTCTACTTTAAATATTAGTTGGAATAGGATGTCTTATGAAGCATTTATAGCTTGCACTATAGGTTGAGGTTCCTATCATTTGTGTATTATAGGAAGTATTAATTTTATGTGAATAAGATTAATATGAATAAAAACCAACCATGACATAATTTATCAGCCAAACAAAAGTTATTTAGTTATATATTTATATAAATAAGTTAGTCTAGGGGCTGGAGATTTAGCTCAGTGGTTCCGCCACCTGCCTTCCAAGCGCAAGGACCCGAGTTTGATCCCCGGTACCAAAAATAATAATAATAATAGTAATAATAAGTTATTCTCATTACCATCATGTTGTTAGTGCTTAATAACAAAAATTATACTTAATTATAAACATGGTACTTAATTACAAACATAACTTCCTGATTACAATAATGCCTTTCATTTTTAAATTTCTGTGTTGTTCCCACAAAAATCTCAAAATCCATGAAGACATATTCTACCTTTATTTTTCTGTATTTTGTTAAGATATCTCGAATTTTAAAGTAATAATAGTTACTATAACAAAAAATGAACTAAATTTTAAATATCTATTATTAGTGACCTCTCCAAATTCATTTCTATTTTTTTCTGAGTCTTATATTCTTCCAACTCATGCTCCTTTGCATTCTGTCTTGCTGTCTTTCAAGTCTATTTTGTCCTCTCCAGAAAGCTCTTCTGCTTTCAAATGTACATCTTCCATTTATACATCCCTTTATACATCCCCTCAAGTCTTGTCGGTGTAAGAATAAATCAGTGTTCCTGAATCAAAATCATTTTGAAATTTAAATCTTTCATCCTTATCATTTTGTTTGGTCTTGTTTTTTATTCCAGAGCCTAATCAGAAGTTCAGTTACTACAGCAGTAACATCTGTCACCTTGTATTAGGCAGTGCATTTTATTACACGGTATTTTGCCACCCCATTGCTATACGGAAAGAATCTAAAACAGATAAATAAAAAGCAGAAAAAGCACAATTTCCCTTTTGTACCAGGGTTTCAGTCCAACTCTTTCAAGTCTATAATGGACATTAGGCAAGAACTATACAATGAGAGCCATCGCAAAAATCAATCAGCTACTGTTCAGATCAGACTGAACAAAAGCAAAGTACAGTACATAGTCATAACCGTGCAATTTTATCGAGAGAAAAATATCATTTCTTAAAGTAAAAGAAAATGTGAATAAAGAAGGAAAGTAAACCATATTCAAAGAAGGAGAGTTGGTATCCTTCAGATAGCATTGAGTACATGAACTTATTGCCAGTGTTCAAAAATTCCCTTTTTCCAAAGATATTTTACGCAGATGAGAAAGGGATTCTGAAATGGGGATAGATGGAAAGGAGTGGAGGAAAAGGAGAAGCAAAAAGGATCAAGATTTGATATGTATATATACCAATACCCCAGAACAAATATATATTTTTATGTATTATAAACATATACTAATAAAAAATTTAATTTCCCTTTTTCAGATTCTGTGCAACACTGGAACAGCTATTTCTGTTTAAAGTTTTATCATCTAAGACACCTATGCTTGGCAATAGTCATAGAGGCTTTGGGCCAGTGGTTACAATTCTTCCTTACAAGGGTAAAGCAATTAGCCGGGCTTGATGGATCTATAGACAGAAGAATCACAAGTTCAAGCCCAACCTGAGCAACTTAATGACTTAACAAGACTTTGTCTCAAAATAAATAATAACAATAATAATAGTTGGGGATGTAGCCCAGTGTGGAGGCTCTGGGTTCATTCCCAAGATAAATCAACTAAGTTATAAACCTTAAGTTATTTATTTTCCTTTCCTTTAAATAGTATATTTTATTGCCACTCAATTTACTTTCACTTTCAAATGTCCAACATTGGAATCTGAAATTTTTCAGTGGACATAAAATGTATTTTTAAATATTCATGTACCTTAGAAAGACCTTAATTCAGTAATTCTTGATTTCTGTCACAAAAACAAAATTAACTTGAATAAAAACAGCTGAAAATATATACTGCAATTAAAAATTTTTTAAGTTCATGTATATTTCATGAATTTTAAATGTGAAATTATGTTCTGATTTAATATTCTATTTTTCTAGAATTTTGGACAAAGTGTCCATCTAAGTTCAAGTGAGCCAAAACAAACTACAAGGGGTACTTCTAATACTGAAGAAGGTATGTCTGAGTTTAAATGTTTTCCTTGGAGCTTTTTTCTCAGTGATTTTTTTTCTTACGTGTATTTTCTAAGGTGCTCACAAATAGCATGACTGCTAAGCCACCATTTAGGGCCTAAACTGTCTTTGCCACTGCAGTTTGTGGCCAGTTTTCCTTTATTTTAAATAGCAGTATACGGAGCATCTTTCTACATTGAGCTATTTCCTAACTTATCAATTATTGCTGTAGGATAGATTTCAGGAATCAAAATTACAATACTGGGCATATAGGGGGTACTCAATAAATATTTGTTGAATGAAACTCTACATATTAAATGAATACTAGATCAAAGGAAATAAGCATTAATATGGATATTCATGCATATTACTTAACTTTTTGTCTAAAAGCATTATTCAAAATTCTTCCAATCATCTATGTCACCTTGAGGTACAATTCTGTCTACTATTTCCTTATATGATAGGCAAAGAAATTTTGTTATATATTATTTTTTAAATATTTTTATTATAATATGCTTAATTGTTTTTGTATTTTTTGTAAATTGTCCCTCCATATTCTTTTCCCTAAATATTAGTTTTTATATTTTCTTACTGATTCCTGAAAATTCTTGAAATATCAATGATTGAAATTCATATATTGGTTACAAGTGTTTTTACTACTTCATTATTTTTATTTTATTCCACTTGTTATATTTTTACATATGTTTTTATTTTTGTTTGTTCATTCAATAAATTATTATTAAGAATTAATTTTGTGCTTATAAGTAAATACTGGATATAGAGTCATGAATACAACATATAAAAGCTTGCCCTTCAGAACTTAGAAGTCTGTCAGAGAAGACTGGCCTTGCATGGCCTAATCTAAATATGTTTCAGTCTTTTCTTAGTGATTTCTCCATTACTTCCACACTCAAAGAGCCTTCCCAATCCAAAAATTTAGAAATATCTTTTTTTGCCTGAGGGTTCCTTTAATAGCTTGATTCTTCATATTTAACACTTTATTTGTAATTTGTTTAAATGAAAGGTGGGAAGTGAAACTCCAAATCAATTCCTTTTTGAACACTGAACTAAGTTATTGAATTATCCCTCCTTTCTCTCAAGTCTTTGATGCTCCTTTCAGCATATGTTCTTAATCCAGTTTGATCTGTTTCTATGCTATTAGTTCTGTTCAGATGACATGTGATTTTCTAACCTTTCCTCAAGTTTCTTTTCTCCTACTCTTTTATTTAGAGCTCATTTTAACTGCTGTTATAAAGACAATCTCCTTCATATTATCTTTGTACCACGAATGAATAGCAAAATTTAATGCAAAAAAATTATCTAAACATAAGTATTTTTTTCTTTAGTTCAGGTAAGTCTCTAAGAATTTTTATTACCTCACTGCCATCATTTTATATTTTTTTTTAAATTAAGGATGGAGAAATGCTAGATGTAGAGAATCCTAATAAATGCAAAGTAATAGAATATTACTGCATTTCTGTTTGTGAAATGAATGCAAACAGACATTGCTAAGTATGTATAAGGGCTAATGCCAAAGACAAAAAGAGATCAAAGAATAATTGATTAAAATTTATGTAGTTTCAGAGAGCACTTCTGAGTTTTTGATGGCTGAAAATCTAGTGAAAGCTTCAGTGCCTGAGGATGAAATTCTAACTGTCCTGAATAACAAACAGCTACAGAAATCAAATCTGGCTTTAAACAATGCCCAGCAATTCAACACCTGTGCACTATCAGCTGAAGAACAGAGGATCCTGCAGTCCCTTGACCATCTCAATGAAAGACTACACTGTAAGTGTGGAAAAGCATCTTTGGTGAGAAACGTGGTATTTTGTACTTAGACTATATTAATTAAATTGAAAATAAAAGTCCAAAATTATATATATTATCACCTGCTTACTAGAGCATATGACAATTGAGAAATATTTCATACTATTTCAAGTATACAGCATCATTTACAATGTTGTTTATGATGATACCAATTTCTGTGCCAGGCCTTACTGTCTTTTTTAGGAATATATGAATATATTAATTCTAGTTCAATAATGGACAACCTAGGTATCTACATTGACCATCCATGAAAACAATTATAATCTCATTATTGTTATTAAGCATTTTGAAAACGTAAATATAGTGATAAGCTGGTAAGAATATAAGGAATTCTTAAGACTAAGAAGTAAATATAAATGAAAACTCAGAAAGTTAGAGTCCTATAACTAGCTTTTATCCTAAGGATATTTAACACATGGAATTTTTTAAAAAAGAAGAACCAGGAAACAAAACCCAGGACCTACTCTAAATAAGTAGTCTCATAGAAGATCTTCCAGCCATAAAGCTGGGCCATCCAAAGATCTGTGCACAACACATAAATTCACAGAAAAGAAGGGGTGAAAAAAATTATATTTCTTGAACTTAAGTGTTGAGCAGATTGGGAATACAGGCAACTCTTGAGAATTTGAAACCACACTCTTTTATAAATATCACACTAGTTTACAGACCGTAATTATACTACCTGAGCTGGAGATTTAGCTCAGTGTTTCCGTGGCCTGCCTCGCAAGTGCAAGGACCTGAGTTCGATCCTCAGTACAAAAAAAGATAATAATAATTATACTACCTGACTGTTTATTAAAGCCTGAAGCAAATAATTTAATTTAGAATGATTTAAAACTAGTAATAACACAAAATACCTGAAAACAGTAAATTTTATGTTCTTTCTGAAGAAACCTACCAATATTACAGTCTTCAGAGAATTATCACAAATGAAATCTGAAGAAAATAAGCAACCCACAATTAAACAAAAACAAGAATAAAAAATAGCAATCCATAAAGAAAAACTTGCCCTTTAAAAATTCATTACTATGGTTGCATAATTGTTGCTATTAAGAGTTTTCTCTGTAAACCAACATCCAGATTACCTTTGTAATGCTAACAATACTAAAGTAACATTGCCAGAGAACCTGATGTTGTGCCAATTACACTACATCCTCCCTTCCCAAATTAATTGAGGTGGTCAGATCTTGGGCCACAGGCAAAGGACTATAGTTAACCATGCCCAAAGTACATCTCTGAAAAGCAATTGTCTAAAAAGATCTCCATGCTAGCAACAAAGTCTTTACACTGTAAGCATCCACAAACCTCAGCACCAAACAAAATAAAACAAATTTAAAAAAATAGAAACATGAGAAGGCAAGACAACAAAATGTCTCCAAAAACACCCTACTACCCCAAAGCCAATCTGGAGGGCTTCCAAAAGGAAAACAGGATAAGCCACACACCCAATTTATGTGAAAGAATAACAGAGGAGGTACTCAGTGGGATCACAGAAGATATGACTAAACAGACAATGGAAGTTATAACCAAAATGATACAGAAGCTTTCAGAAGATACTAACAAAAAGCTAGCTGAGTTATACAAAATAATACAAAACATGAATGACCATTTTAGCAAAGAATAAGAGCCCATGAAAAAGTTTCAATCAGAAATCTAAGAGATTAAAAATTATATTGAAAATATGGGAAGTGAAAGACATCTACAGTGAAAACTACAGTACTCTGAAAAAGAAGCTCAAAGAGGATATCAGAAAAGAAAATCTCCTGTTCCTAGATAGGCAGAACCAACAACTATAGAATGTATAGTTCTATACAGCTCATGGAATGTTCTACAAAATGCACCAGAGTTTAGGCCATAAAGCATCCTTAACAAATTCAAAAACAGTTGAAATAGCTTCTTACATCTTATCAAATTACAATGAAGTAAAACTAGAAATCGATAGCAAGAAAAACCACAGAAATTATACAAATACATGAAGATTGAACAATTCACCTATGAACAATCATGAGGTCATTGAAGAAATCAGGAACAGAATTTTTTAAAAAAGAAAAAGGCAATGTAACATATAAGAATCTCTGGGACAAATAAAAGGCAATTCTAAGAGGAAAGTTTATAGCTCTGGGTGCTATCAGAGAGATGTCAAATGAAAAATCAAGAGGATATAAAAAATCTAAACAGATCAATAATAAGCAATTTGATTGAAGCAATAAAGACCAGAAAGTTTCACTGCTGAATTTTACCAAACCTTTTAAGACGAACTAACATCAGTGTTCCTCAACTATTCCTTGAAATAGAAAGGAAAGGAATGCTTTCCAAAGGAAAAGAAAACTCATTCCATACAGCCAACATCACCTCAATATCAAAATCAGACAAAGACACAACAATCAAGAAAACTATAGACCAATATTCTTGATAAATATAAGGTGCAAAAATCTTAATAAAATACTTTCAAACCAAATTCAAGAATACATTGAAAAGATCATACACAATGATCAAATTGGCTTAATTCCAGTAATGCAAAGATGGCTCAACATACATAAATCAAAAAATGTAATACACCACATTAGTTGAATCAAGGATAAAAATCACATGATCATCTCAATTGACCCACAAAAACTTTCAACAAAATACAGTATCCCCTCACGATTAAAAGACCAAAAGAGGGCCGGGGATTTTAGCTCAGTGGTTACCCTGCCTGCCTCACAAGCTCAAGGACCGGAGTTCAATCCCCGGTACCAAAAAATAATAATAATAATAAAATAAAATAAAAGACCAGAAGAATCTAGGCGTTGAAAAATTATTTCTCAAAATAATAAAGTACACATAAAACAAACCCCAGCCAACATCATTTTCAATGGGGAAAACTGAAAGCATTTCCTCTAAAATCAGGAACAAGCAAGGATGTCCATTCTTAACATTCCTATTCAATGTCATTCTTGAAATTTTAACTAGAGCAATTAGGTAAGAGACACAATAAAATGAAGAAGTCAAATTATCCTTGTTTTCAGATCCTATACTTAGAAGACCCTAAAGATTCCACCAAAAGACTTTGTGAATAAACAAATTCAGCAAAGTACTAGGATGTAAAATCAACTCTAAAAAATCAATCCCTTTTCTTTATACCAGTAATGGACTAGCTAAGAAAAAAATCAAAGAAATAATTTTATTCATAATAGCTTCAAAAAATGAAATACCTAAGCAATCAATCCAATCAAGGAAGCGAAAAATATCTACAATGACAATTCCAGAACATTGAAAAAAGCAATTGATGAAGACCCAGAAGATGTAAAGATCTCTCATATTCATGGATCAGCAGAATTAATATTGTTAAAATGGCCAAAAGCAATCTATAGATTTGATGCAATCTCTATCAAAATACCAACTACATTCTTCACAGAACTAGAAAAAATTCCTAAAATTCATATAGGAAACATAAAAGACTGAGAATAGACAAAGTAATCCTAAGCAACAGGAAAATGCTAGAGACATCAGAATATCCAATTTCAATTTATGCTACAAAGCCATAGCAACAAAAGCAGCATGGTACTTATATAAAAATAGACATATAGATACTTACCTGGCAGGGGAGATACCATGATCACAAAGGTGGTTTTCCCAGGGTGAGGCTTATCCATTGCACTCCAGATGTGCTGACCCCTGCAATTTCCCCAAATATGGGAAAAAGAAAAAAAAATAGACATATAGAGCAATGGAACAGAATAGACAACACAGAATCAAACCCATGCAATTATAGCCATTTAATTCTGGACAAAGGAACCAAAAATATATGTTGGAAAAAAGACAGCCTCTGTAAAAACTAGTACTGGAAAAACTAAATATCCACTTATAGAATATATATCATTTCAAAATGGATCAAGAACCTAGGTATAAGATCCAAAATTTTTAATCTGCAAAAAAAAAACAAAACCCATAGGGAAGCCATAGACACAAGCATGGACCTCTTTAATAGAACTCCAATAGCACAAGAAATAATAGCAAGAATTGACAAATAGAACCACATCAAATTTAAAAATTCTGCACAGCAAGGGAATCAACCAACAAAATGAAAAGACAGCCTACAGAATGGGAGAAATTATTTTTCCAGCTACTCTTCCAATTGAGCATTAATAACTAGAATATATGAAGAATTTTAAAAAACACCAAAAAATCAAATAGCCCTGTTATGGTGTGGGTTTAGATATCCCCCCCTCAAAGCCTCATGCAGTCATAGATAGCTATTTCAGAGGTGGATGAATCTAGAATGTGTGATGCTGGCGTTAAGGGCATGTGATTACTAAACCAGTACAATGATTGATTTAGCTCTCCCCTAATCTCAGCAGTTTGGATAAGATAATAGGGGCAGCATGGCACTGTTAAGTTCCCTTATTGTTTTTGCTACTGTGTGGGCACCATGAACTGTTTCTCCTCTGCAACACCCCACTGCCATGTGCCTCTCTGCCTTAGAACCAGCGGATTATAGACTGAAACCTCTACAAACTGAGCTTAATAAACCTTTTCCCCTTTAACTTTGGGTGTCTGGTATTTTGTCTCAGCAATGAGAGAAAAGTAACTAAGACAGCCCAATCAATAAATGGGCAAAAATATTGAATAAACACTTCTCAAAAGAATACAAGTGGCCAATAAGTACAATTGAAAATGTTCAACATTTTTAGTCATTTTGGGAATCAGAACTACAATGAGATTCTATCTCACCCCAGTCAGAATGGCTACCATCAAGAGTACAAAAAATAGCATGGGAACTAGCACAAAGAATCAACAACTGGGATCTCATCTTATTAAAAAGCTTTTTCACTGCAAAAGAAACCACCAACAGAGCTAAGAGTCTTCGTACAGTGTGGGTTAAAATTTTTAGCATTTTTTTCTCAGTCAGAGGACTGTTATTTAGAATATATAAAGAACTGAAAAAAATCAGACCCCCCAAATTCAAAGACTCAGTTCAT